CTGTGCTCCGTTCTATTAACGTATCTCCAGCAGCAACCGACTTGTTTTCGTAGTTACTTATTTGGACGCCGTCAATGCATCCGTATTGAAGACAATTATTCCTCGTGGTGTTTTCTAGATGCAAGCGTGCCACAGGGTGGCGTGTTGTCTCCTCTCCTTTTCTCAATTTTCATACGCTCTATTATTTCAGGAATTTCTTCACTCTAACATCTTTATGCAGACGATCTCCAAATATATTCTAAAACTAGTATTGAAAATCTACCATCCGCCGTGCTATCCACAAATCGTGATCTCACAATTGTTTCTGAATTTTGCACATCTTATGGAATCAAGGTTAATCCTAGTAAAACACAGGTAATAGTGATAGCAGCAAACTACTACAAAAAATTACATGGCATACGCTGCCCTTTGTTTGTTTTGAGAGTTCTGTTATTCCTTATAGTAAGGTTGTAAAAAATCTAGGGGTTCTAATTGACAGTACAATGTCTTGGATACCTCGAATTGAACAGATAAGCAAGAAAATTTTTGCAGCTTGTGGAAGTCTTAAGAGACTCCGAAATTTCCTGCCCATTTCTACCAAAACTGCGTTAGCACATTCCATTTTGCTACCTATTTTAGACTATGTTGATATATGCTACACTGATATTACCATCGAGCAATTTAACAAACTTGAGCGTCTTCAAAATATATCCATTAGATTCATATTTGGTTTACGCAAATATGATCACGTATCCCAATTTCGAAATCAACTCAAGTGGCTCCCTATTTGCCTTCGCCGGAATGTTCATATACTCTCTTTACTTTTTTGTGTACAGTTTGATCCGAAATCTCTAAAATACCTTATGGAACAATTTCACTATCGACATGAATTTCATAACCGCAATTTGCGTTCAGTGTATAGCTTGTCTTTAAATACTCCTTACAGCGTAACTTCATTTTTTTCTTCATCTTCATTTCAACAGACTTTGGAATTCATTACCATTTAAAATTCAGAAAGCGCAATCTTTACAGTCTTTTAAAAAACGACTTAAAGAGTATTATTTGAAATCCCCGTCATAATAATAAATTGTATTTATTTCCTCTTTTCATAAGTACTTGATTTTTTTTTGTTAAATTTACTCTGCAGCTTTGAATATATTAAATTAAAATTATTATACATATATATGTATATATGTATGTATACACACACACACACACACACATAAAATATATATATATATATATATATATAAAATGAGTATGTATATAAATTTATTTATATTTATAATTATTAAATATTGTATATATTATTAATATATTTTTATAAATATTATTTTTATCTGTTTATTTCAACGTTGCACCTATCCGTCAAAATATAAAATTATATTGTCCTTTTATGTTCGGTTTGTCAGGCAGAAATCGCTTAAAGCGATCAATGTTTGTATTCATAAGTTTTCCATTATTGTAATAACTTTGTTCAAATGCAATAAAGAGTTATCTTTCTATCTATTTACGTGACGTATTAAGAACTGAAAATCGTGACATCATATTTACAAAAAAATTAAAACAGATCCTAACTAATAAAATGTAATTATAATACTAATGAATATTGTATAAATAGTACATATATAGGTTATAAAAAATGATCACTCATTTAAATTGAATTCTATTTCAATAAACCACAATGACATTCCTTTAAGTAGTTTAATACGCTTCCTCTCTCCTAGCCCCTAAATTGCATGCCCAACAGGGTCTATAACACTGGCCTCACATTATTTTATAACATCTTATGTACATTATGGTTAAGCAATAAATGTTTAAGTTTGAGTTTGACCGTGCTCTCTGGCATTCCTTCTGGGAAACATATGTTCAGCAGTAGACTTTTATTTATCTGTAATAGGGATAATCACGGTGTCAATAACATGTCTATTGTTCTAATTCTTACATCCATCTTTTTTGAAGAAGTTTTGTGAACTCTAAGAGATGGCGGTATTACCATTTTGCAATTATACTAGATGTGTAATATTAAGACTGACGAGGGGAGAATAACATTTTGGTAGGTACTGCTGTAGCTAATTGAAGTAACTTGCCAAGAGTGAAAATTACTGCAAATTCAGGTAGAATTACTACTAACTTAGGAGATACATGTGTTTATCTTTGGACTATTCAAGAACGGACGAAGTTGTGATGATTGAAAGTTTCTAATAAGTACATTATAATTGGTTATTTTAGTGTTATGTAATATTGTTATTACAACTTAAATATGTATACAAAAAAGAAAATCGTTTTTGTGGTATCTTATTAAACCCAAAAGCCCTTTCATACTAGCTAGCATTTATACATAAATGCTCATGACTAAACAAAATAACTTATTTAAATATAATCCACGTTTTTATGAAGAGCTAACAAAACTCATTATTTTATATACGCTCATGTACAAATTTAACACAAAATATCATTGATGTTTGTGAAAATAAATTTATTATTTTGCTTATTATTCATTAATTTAATATTGCAAACGACGAAAAAACTAACGATTAAATGACAAAATTTTACCAAATTAAGAAATAAAAAAAAATCACAGGAAAGAAATATTTTTTGTACTTGACATCATGTAACATCATTTTTTTCATGAATGCCTAGGAAATGCTGTAACGTGCGCTATAATCAGTAGAAGGTGCCCCCTCTAGCTCTTCGAATTGTTTCCGATATCCATGACATGCAATCAAGTTATTAATAAAATCTTTATAGTTCCATTCTCCCTGTTAAGCATTTTTAAGATGTCTCAAATTAGCGGGGGCAGGATTTCTTTTCTTAATTTGTATCTATGGGGCTTAAGTCAGGCGAGTAGGCTTGGGAAATATCTCTCCTACTCTATCTATTAAATCGCATCTATATATTGGATTTGAATATCTGATATTGAATCTATATATTTCATAATTTATATATAGTTGATATCTACGTGATTCTACAACTCTATAAGGAACTGAGTATTTAGTAGTACTTGGTGATACGTGATTTTTCTGATCTGATGAATTTGGTATGCTTAGAAATATCGAATTGTGTATAAACAATATATTGATACAATTCGTTATTCATTCGAGTACGGTGTTAGACATTATGCAAAGTGACGTTGTACTGCAGCGGTATTTAATACATTGATATAAAGATAGTGTATTTATATACGATTTATATCGTCCACCTCTAAAGGCGAGCGTGCTGGCCACCCTATAGCATTGAATTCGACGTCTCACCGTTATTCGACAACTACGGCCGTAGTATGGAGGCATGCATTATTATGCATAAAAACTAATCTATTTCCTTTAAAAGGCACTACAATTTCTACCAAATCTCAGTTACATATCGTGCCGCTGTTAGTGACCCATTTTCAATGACGCGAAGTTTCGTACATACCTCCACAAAAGTACTTCTCCTCCGGACGTCTCCACACTTTAATCCTTCTATCATCTGGTATCAGGTAAAATCTGGACTTATCTGTGAATAGAACTTGACTAAGCATCGTCATTCTAATTTTTGTGATTGCGAGCAAAGTTAACTCGAGCTATTCAATGGCATGTGACAGGAAGGGGCTTCTGGCAGGCAAGTGTGAATTTATTGCGGCCGGGTTCAGTTTTTTTCTTACAGTTTTTGTGCTTACAGTAATCGCCCAAACTTCTTGGAGCTTCGTTCTCACCTCATAAAAAGTTAAGATCCGGCTTCTAAGCATGCTGCTAACAATGAACCCGTCATCTCTGGCCATAGTATTCCGTTTACGTCCCTGTCCTGCGAGTCTCGTACATTGACCGGTCTGCCGATACCTCTTGACATCTCGGTGTACCACCGATTTTGTTACTCGTTATGTTTGGGCTACATGTTTATAAGTGTGTCCAGTTTCAATTAATGTGACAGCCCTAGCAATTCGAGTGGCGTTTGGATCTGGCATTCTCAGTTTATTTGCAGCAACATTTCTGTGAATAATTACTGCAAATAAACTGAGAATAACTTTTATCGTGGCTTTATACCCGGTTCAGATCTTGAATATTAATTAATATTCAAGAACTGAACATAACCGGGCTAATCGATGACATCGGAACATCAAACAACTCAGTCCAGTAATGACCATGAATACTGCAAAGCACTCGAAACTTCGGGTAATAAAAAGTTACAATTAAACGCCATAAAATTCGTAAAATTAGTTTCATTTAATAAGTCGATGTTTTTTTATATAAATTTTTTGTATGAATATTTTAGGTTATAAAATAGGTTATTAATTTCCGGTTTCATATCATGTAAAACATTATGCGTTTACGTAATACAACAATTCAATGTGTACTTCCTTAAACACTATTAATTCTATAAAATTTAAAGTCATAAAAGAAAAAAATTTTACTCAATTTTCAGTTAGTGCTTGACGGCCGTAGCTCATGATGGTAATATGTATAGTCGAAGAATAGTGGTAATATAATCTAAGAAGCACACTAAGCTTTTAGTTTTTTTTTATAGGATAAGGGTGACAAGCTAGCACACAGTATACTAGATGGTAAGTGTTTGATGTGGCCCATAGACATCTATACATCTATCTTACAATGTCGAAAAAACACAGATGCGTTGTCACCCGTGAGGACTAAGATGTAATGCCTCGTTTCTAATAAAAAGGTCTCCGGTTCTCTACACACACCATATGAAACACAGCAGCGTGAAGCCGCTATTTGACTATAGTATTCTGTGACAGCGTTTCGGAATAATTTTCCTATCTTCTTTATTCTACTACAATTTATTATGATTTTTATTTTACTATATTTTCCGTATAGTAGCGGTGGCGCAAGAGAATCTTTTATCCCAAATAATCTCCCAACTCTCCTGCAAGCATTGAAACTATGGCGAATATCGCCCGTACGAGGCCATTCATGGTCATAGCGTTGCAAGTAGCATTAGACTTTTTAAAGGCTGTGATGAATGAATGAATAAAACTCTACTATGTTCTATATATAGGATTTTATCATATAGGAAAAGAAACTTACCAAGTCAATAAGTTGTGACAGTCTCAAACCCAATTTCACAAGTACCGTATTGTTATTTTTATCAACAGGCCGAATTAGTCTATTATAATTACTTAATAAATCATCGTAAAGTCTTTTCGCGTCCGGATTTGCTAAGCATACACCACACGTTGCCAAAAATGCGAAAGCGAATATCTTGGACATTTTACACAATAAAGTCTGTATAATTTAGACGAAATTGAAATTCATTATCTTAACCACAGCGGAAAGAGTTTATTATTAAATTATTTACGATTTTAATTTATTTTGATTTATTTAAATTCGTAAATGAAATTTTTCTTCTGTATTTGACAGATACGCCCGGGAGGACGCTGCGATTGTGGCGCCGCTACTGGCGGGAAAACACAACATACCATAGTCTGGTGCGCAGAATCCGCATCATTTTATTCAGGCGTCTTCTGATGAAATCTCCAGTAGTAAACAACATGATATTATTATTTTATTATATTATGCAAAATGAACGTATACAATATCATAATTTGTAAGTTTGTGCCAGCATTATTAGAAGTATTTTTAATTTATATTTTTATACGAATTTAAAATATAATATATTTTATTATTTAAAACCTAGTATTAATTAAATTAAAAAATATTTAAGTTCGTAATTGTAATATTTATTTCTATCTGCTAATATTGTGTTGAGTAAAAAGGTTCCATTCATTATACATACATAATATTTAGACTTAATATATTTTACTAAATTAATAAAGGGCGGAACGCGGACGTTAATAAAAAAGATAGGCATTTTTTAAGCCAGTAAATACATTATTTACATGCTGTTACGCTGGATCAATGTATAAAGCGCATGCGTGTTACTCCATTCATGAGTACTCTGTGTGTTAGTTTATGTCAGACACATGTAGAGGGCATTAGTTGTACCAGCCATCCTTTAACATGACATAACATTACCAACATGGTATTACTTATAATTTCAATCCGATACTCTGATCCGATTCCGATAAGGTAGAGGTTCACACGTACATCTATTGCTACTTACGAAGAAGTTTAGAGCACAGAAAGTGCTGTACGAGAAGACGTAGTAAGCGTCCTTTCTGTGGAAATAACCATAAGTTTATAGTATCCTTAGAGAAAGGATGTTAAACATTTATTTTTAGTATTTTTAAAGCAATAGGATTTGTCTGAGTCGTGCAGACGTTTTGAACGCATTAATTATACACAAATAATGTACTTGACCAAGTCGATGTCGAATACCAGCATCGTAATAGCCAAACGCCTTGCTTGTTCAGGCTTCGATCAACAATACCAACTAGATGTCGGGTCGGTGCAAGAAATCCATCTCAGTAAATAAGAGCGCACATGAGACGCGAGTTCTTGCACGTGAGAGTGTAGCTCGCAGGGCAATAACGGGAAAAAGAACTTTATTTGTTATAACTTAAGGTTGATTTCACACTAAATTTTATTTAACTTATGTCTTTTTATAGTTTTTATTCATGCGGACAGTATTTAGCCATGATTTTGTACGTGACCTGTTACCTAGTTGGTATTGTTGATCGAAGTGTTCAGGTTAATAAGTAATAAGAAAATGAAGAGTTATGACTATTCAAACAATTATTTTTTTATAAAATAAGTGCGACAAAAGAGCACACAGTCCGTCACACACATACAGGTAAATGGATGCTGTGACCAATGAACATATTACATGTAACCTGGATTAAGAATTAAAAATAAGATGCGTTGGCACCCCTAAGGGATAGAATGTCTCGACACCTGTAAAAATGGTCTCCGGTTTTCTACAATCACCACACAAAACACAAGAGCATTTGGCTACTATTACATGCTGGAGTACTATTTCATTCTGTGGGAGCGTGGTCACTAGCCGGTTGATCAGACTCATTTATGGTGCAACCATAATATAGCTGCAGCTTGACTCTACCACGTAACATAATGTTGGAATCGCGCCGAATAAATTTTATTTGTAGTGGAGCCATGCTACAGTTATATTAGTAGTACAGTTATAGCACGACTGGGTCGGCTCGACCACGCTCTCACAGAATACCAGCGTAAAATAGTAGCTTAATGCTGCTGTGTTTCGTATGGTGAGTGTAGAGAACCGGAGACCCTTTTTACTGGAAACGAGGCATTCCATCTTAGTCCTCACGGGTGACAACGCATCTGCATTTTGATTCGTAATTGAGTATAGATGTCTATGGGCTACAGCAACCACTTACCATCAGGTGGACTGTGTGCTCGTTTGTCACCTTATCCTTAAAAAAAAGAATAAAATTTCCATGGTGTTATAGAACAATCACTTCAGGGTTGATCAGAAACATTCGTGCTGCAACTATAAAACAGCTGCAAATTGGCAATACCGTAAGTTTATTTGCTATCTTTGATTTTTAGGTATTCTTTTTATTTGAAGCAATAACATTGGCAATCGTTTTAAAACTTGTCAAAAATGATTAACAAGATAATGTATCGATATTAATAATGTATTTTAACTGTATTCTGCAATTACTGTTCCTGCTACAGCAGCGTCGCCAACACAGGAATTAGATGAAATGATACTTCACAGCCTGTAATTATTCGGGTTATACATCTATACACTATCTCTATACACTAAAAACAAGAAACATAGTCCTATCCAGGAAAATATGATTTTTACGTTATATGCCACATATTATCTGCATTTTATCAAACTTTAAAAAATAACTGATCCTAATTTATCTAAAAGATTAAGGAAAATTATATGTTTTATTTCTACGACCCACGATGTTTTGTACGCTTGAAATTTAACCCCCTTGAGTTTTTCTTGATTAAGATCATCTGGTGAATAACGGCCAAATCCTGAACTAGCTAGCGCCTGTTCTAGGAACTGCATTGCGGAGAGCACACTACATTACGACTTGTGAATTATGCATTTACTGTTCACGCAAACCCACTTTTAGTTCAGAAATGCGAGATGCTTTTTGCGAATATACTTGCAGTTTATGTTTTGTAACGGAGAATCGCCAGTTATTTCATCGCCTTATAATCGTACTATAAAATTCTTAAATACTTCTGTAAATTAAAACGTTGCCGTGCATAATATAGTTACATAAATAATATATTTGAAGTTATTATTAATAAACATTACGACATATAATTTCACTTCGTAACTTTTGAGTTATAAACTGTATTAAGACCGTAACACTAATATATCATCAACTCGGATTGAGAATGATTATACTGTTTCAATATCGAGGACAGATGTATCTCGTTTAATTTGTGTTCATTTTGTCTCCCTGATTTTTTTAAAACAGTAATGTATCTACAAGTACTATCATTTTCATTATCCATTATAGTCTATTAAAAGTGTACTACTAAACTTAGGCCTGGCCCAAATATGCATTTTGTTACTGTCGCCACTGTTAGTGACCGCAGTTTTTGAAGTTAAAACTTCTTTAGCGGAGTTGTATACTTTTTTGTAATGGGTAAAAAATACTAAACTCGCGTCAGAACACGTGACCTGATCGGAAATTCGTAAGACGGATGGAGAGTATACAGTACGCAGCGTTTTCTGAGAGATAAATTTTTAATGTAATATAAATTGTCATGTTTGTGTACGATAGCGCAATAAATAAATATTGTATTCTACCACATAAATGATAGTACTTTTATACTGATAATTAAAGCAATTCGTGCAAAACTATTCCCTAACCATTCCAAAATATCAAAAATGCACGTTAATATTCATGTTTTCACTTCTGCCGGCACTCCCGGAGTGCAACCAGTCGTTTTTTTTATTTTTAGTTGTTACCAGGATGATGCTGCTGCCCATCTCCTGTTTCAGTTTTACTCTGTTGCCAGTTACGACACCCACAGGATGTTATGAAGTAGTTGATATTCTTATGCCGCCTCTACAAAGCATCACTACACTCACTGTCACAGTAAGAGTTATTTGCTAACTGTGACGGTAAGTTTAGTTTAGGTTTTTAATTTTTACTATTTACCACTCCCCCCTGAAAGTGTTTCCGCTGTGTTGTAATTGAAGGCTCAGTAGCCGTGGCTTGGTCACCTAAGAACTAGAACATAGAGGAACAACATGGATGGCGTGTACCGTGGCGACGAGCCGGCCAGAGGTGGCCATTTAGATGTATGTTTGTGGACTGCGGAGAGGAGTGTTCTCCTAGTTAGCCGAGATGGAGTCGTGCAGGATGAAGTATGATGCACCACTCACTCTTTCTTCCAGGACTCTGTCAGGGCCGCACCGTTAATTTAAAGGTGGTGGGGCTGAAGAGGAAGAGGAATAACGAAATACCGTTATTCCATTTTTCCTCTGTGTCGACTGTCCATAGCTGGGCAGCAATGCAATAGCACAGCGCTGCTCTCCCTACACTCCGCAGCTCAAACGAGGTTGGTGGCGGAGCCATCAGATACACCGTTGGAGTCAGGAAGGCTAGTGTTTCCGGGAGCTCATTTTTCCTAGACCTATGGCCTTCGCGCGTCGGACACGGGGGCGTTCGTTTTGCAGGTGAGGTTGGACGCCACGAAGGAGGGCGCACCATGTGTCTCTCGAGGAGAGCAGTTTCAAATAAGTTAAGAGTACTTTACTCCTTTCGGTATGTTCTTTGTGTAAAGTAAATCCAATCATCCAGTAGTCTAATGTTCACTGCCCAGCTACGGACAGTCGACTGCATTTAACATGAGACACCTCATACAGATCCCAAATAGTGTTTTGTGAGTTACTTCTTGGCGTTGGCGGATTGGTTGGTGATTACGGTGCTGGATAAATGCGCTGCTGTAAATAATTGTTCTCTGGTTAACTAAGTCATGAGACCTTTAATAGTTAAGGAAAAGAAAGTTGTAAAATAACCGATAACATTTTTAATAAAATATTAGTAACCTTATTCAATCGACGGATTCAACTCGGCTGGGCAGCGTTCGGGAAATTACGACGCATCTTCCCGTCAGGTATATCTCAAAACCTGAAAACTAAGTTGTACAACCAGTGCGTATTGCCGGTGATGACCTACGGAACCGAGACGTGATTCTTCACTGCTGGCCGTGTGAGGACGCTCAAAGTCGCTCAGTGAGCTATGGAGGGGGCTATGCTCGGAGTTTCTCTGCGTGATAAACTTAGAAATGAGGATATTCGCAGTAGAACCAGAATGACTGACATAGCCCAACGGATTAGTAAGCTGAAG